ATTAATCCATATCTCTTACCTATTTAATCCAACTATATAGACTTACACTTAAACAGTAGATTCATATGTCAAGTGGAATTAAGTCAAAAGATAGAAATTCTGCTACCAGTTTAAATCATTTAATCTACTAATTCAAATTTGTTAAGGAATATCTATCTTGCAAAAATTATTTAAAACAATTAAATACCTCAATACTTTTCACCTTAAACTAACAAAAAGATAATATACTTATAAACCTAATTCAAAATTAGAAAGTCTTATATGCATACTGATAATTGATAATTTTTTTTTTACATTATACTTTATAGCTTATATATCAGAAGAATTAAAGATATTAATATGGATATATATTTTCTAGTAAATGCTTTAAAAATGAATTTTTTAGTTAATTATTACTATCAAATCTAAGGGTCCATTTAATCAAGTGGAGTATGACTCTTAAATCTTCTAGTAAACATTCCAAAAGTTTTCAATATATATAAGCTATCAAATTTAAGGATATAAATATCAAGCAGAATATAACTTATATATATCAACAAGCTATTAAAGATTCCTTAAAAGGCTCCTGCATAGTGTTCAAGTCAATAATCTTTTCAAAGATAAATTATGTTTTGCCAGCATATTGTATGATAAAATTTGCCATATCAGAGAGGATTATAGACTTTTATTGAAATTAAGTTAAAAATCTTTTCTTGTATAATTTTTTCTGCTTTGATATGTTTTTAATCCACAATTATTAGAAAAACCAGAGGTTCCATTTTTATGCAACCTAACTATTAAACTAGAAACATGTATTTGGAGACCTAGGAATATTTCTACTATGCTATAGATCCACAAATCTAATAAACATTATTTATTTATTTATATATTATATAATATATACTATGATATAAAAAAATTTTGAAATTATTTATTTATTTATTACTTAAAAACTATTATATAGAAATCAATAAAAAATATATTAAAATAAAATTAAAAATCTAGAGATTTTATTAATATATAATTAATAATTAATTCTTTTACTATTATTTTCAATTATTAATTTATATTTCTTTTTTATTGAATCTATAAAATTATTTAAAATCTTATTTGAAATTTTATCACATTCTTTTATTATAAATTGTTCTAATTTTAAAATATTTTTTGGTAATCTCATTTTTATATTTCTTTTAGTAATAGTTCAAAGATTTTCAATAGGATTTAAACCTGAACTGTTAGAAGGCCAATTAATAATTTCAGAAAAATTTTTATTTAAAAATATTTTAGTGATTTTATTATATTTATATATATTTAAACACTAGCTTTGCCTTGCTTTATTAATAATTTGATACTTTATACATGTCATATAGTGTATTGTACATAGTTTACTATATGTGAATAAAGCTATATTAAGTTAACTTACATACTGGCTTGTTGCTATTAGCTTATCTGAGGACAGAGGTGTGAGCTAATGTACCAAGACTTCATTAGCTTATAAATTTATTTTTTGATATATTATATACTTTAAGTTCTATTTTTACTTGGGAATGTATTAAGAGAAGTGAAGGGAAATTGAAGGATAGTACCTATTATGATAAATAGAACTTTTGAAATTAAGTATTCCTCTAATTCAGATCAGATTATAACATCTTTTTTAGAAAAGAATACTCTTTGCAGAAAAAGACATTAGATACCATAAGAAGCGATTACCAAATCTTCTTTTTCCTAAACCAGACATCTTCTACACCTTTTTATTTTTCCTGCTTTCGGTGATCATCGTATCACCAACTGGATGATTATTACACCACAACACCTTTTCTGGAGATTACAATCTTAACACCTACTGGATCAGCATGTGAATAGGCTTCTTATAAGAAACGGCACTTAGCAGATCACAGTACCAGATACCATATTAATTCTATTCAACCACCTTCACTTGAAGTTGAACTGATATTTTGTGATCTGGACCTAGGAGTACTGACTACTGTGCTATAGACCTACAGATTAATTTTAGTGATTTTACTTGTATACTTGGAATCATTATTTTATTAAAAGTATTAATTGTTTTCAAGTAATCTATTAATTTCTTTTTAAGGACTAAATATAATATATGCATGACTTTATTAATTATTTTGCAGATTATATATTCATTACAAACAGTCTATTTTTTAAGTAAACTAATGCTACCTATATATTTTTATCCAAATACTAACTTATATCTTATAGGTGGATTCATATTTAAATTTATATTATATTTTTCTACTTGTAAATATAGGGTAAGAAAAATTCTATTCAATAGTTAAACCTTTTTAGTAATTTTTTTTTGGTTTTAATAATTCAATTCTTTCCTAAAAATAGGTTATCAATTCAGATTGCATCAATATCAAATAGAGTAGTGAAGATTCAATCAAGTTCAAAGTTTGCTAATCCAGTTTGAAATATTAATTAATTGAATGTGACTTATTCAAGAAGTCAACCAATCTGAATAAAAAATTGATACTATGGAGTCTGTCATGTCAAAAGGGGTTATAGGTTTTTATTGAAGTTAAATCAGAAGTCTTTCCTTATGTAATCTTTTCTACTTTGATCTGTTTTCAGCTTGCAATTGTCAGAAAGACAAAGATCCTATTTTTATACAACCTAACTAATTTTAATTATGATCCAGATCATACATGTGGTCGTATTACCATAAAAGGAAATTTGATCGACAATACGATTCCGAATTAAATACGAATTCCAATTATTTACTATATATTACTTAGTAATTCTACTATAATATGGTTTTTGAAAAATGGTAGAATTCAATTTCACCACATGTATAATTCAGATATTTTTTGAATATAACATTTGTAGATAGAACTTCAAAAAGTACTGAACCAATATCAAAGTAGTATCAAAATAATATCGATCTATAGTAAATTTAATATATGGATTATAATCTACTTATATGAATTTATAGTAAATTTAAGTATTAAACTGATATTAAACAGATATCGAAGTGATACTATTAGGAGCCCTATTTGTAAAAAAACCAATAAATCTACAAATAAAGAATAATTTTTATATATTTTGCTTCCTATGGATATTGAACTAGAGATATGTATTTGAAGATTAGAGAATACTATTTACTATACTATTGACTTACTAATCATGTAGTCTATTAATTTCTTGTTTATGATTTTATAAAATATTAATATAAAATTTTGTATTTATAATTCTTTAAAACAATAAAATAAAGTTTTTTCTTTTATACAAAATCCTTTCCATATAAAGATTTTAGTATGATTTTTAGATATTCTTCTAACTAATCTTATATCTTTATATTATTGAGTAATTGTATTTCTGAATTGTTGAAATACTATTTTATTAGAAAATAATATTTTTTTTCTGTTATTATCAAAATATTTTTTTGTTCAAATAATATAAATTTAAAAGTCTTAAATAAATTATTAGTAATTTAAAAAGACAGTGAACTTAAATAATTATAATTTTAATGCCAACAAAATTGAAACTTTATTAAAGTCCAAAAGATATTCTTTTTTTTTTTTTATGTAGGTAAATATCATTTCTTTATTTATTTATATAGTAATATATATACATAGTAAAAGAAACAACATTTTTTAGGTGCAAAAGCATATAATAAGTTAAATACTAGCTTGTCTACACAATTTATATCTAACTAATATTGAAAATAAATTTTAAAACAATATTAATATGCTAGATATAGTTGAATAGTGACTATATCTACCTATTCAGAATTATTTAATAAGACATGAGAAAAAAATTGAAAAGTAAAAGAAAAAATAGAAACTATTAAAACTAAACCTAAATCAAACAAATTATACAATCTATGAAAATAAAAGTTATAACTTCAAGGAAACCTTCACACCAGCTCATTGTCCTATAACTCCGGTTCCTTGCTACTTGTTGATATGACTTTTGTTGATCCAGATAGTGGAATATAAATGACATTGTTTATTATTTTAATAATAGTGATTATTATTGTTGTTATACTGTAAAACTGATTTGAGTTAATTTGGACTTTGTTTTGATGGAATGATGAAATCTGGATGAATAGTAATATTGTTGTTGTATTAATATAATTGATAATTGATATGGTGATAGGTTTGTTTGTAAATACTTGGTTTGTTGTAAAAGTGATAGTTGTTATGATTATAATAGTTGTTGTGATGATATTGTTTACGTTGATTGCTAGAAAGTATGTTGGACATATGATTTTGTTTTGATTATTGATACTGAAAAAGGCTTTGTTTTTGTTAATTATAGAATGGTATATCAAGTATATGAATTTGTTTTAATGTTTGCTAATATTTGATTGGTTGAGTTTGAACTGACGATCAATTGACAGGAGTAAACTAATTGTGGTTTTTTAGTGAGAATTTTTTGAGTAAAAATTTTTGGTTTTTTGTGGCACAGCAGTATGTACTGAGTATTGTTGAGAGAGAATATAGAATATACTGTTGATGCCCCAAGCCAACAATATAAACTATTTTTGTATAAAGTTTTGCTTTTGAGAATAAAGAACAGCTCTTCAAATGAAAAAAATATTTATTTAATAAAGTTTATATATTAATAAAAAGTAAGAATGGGAAGAGCCTCAAGGAAAAGGTGAAAGAAAGTAACTGTTATGGGTCTTTCCTCATGTAATCCAAGAGAAGAGCAAGGTCCTCAAGCTTGCTTTTACTTGGCCAGAAGTTTTATCCCGATATATCAGTAGACTTCTTTGATTTTCTTAAGGCTCTTGTAATGAAAGTAAGAGGAGTGTGAAGGACTTTTGGGTGTTGAAAGGCAAAAAAAATATTTGTTTCTTTAATTTTGAAAGAAAATTACTAAAAAAGAAAGTTTTTTAAAAAAAAAGTCGTGTATGGGAAAGAGTTTTTTTGTCAAAAAGATATTCTTTTATATATATCAGCTTTATATAACATAAAAATACATAAATAAATAAATATAAAAATAAATATATTTATATTGGACTTAAACGATCAGCACATCTTTTTCCCATGCAAAATGCAAGAAAACTGAGAGGCAGTTCTCTCACCACAAGATCCAACTATAATGACAATAAGCTAAGCAAAGGTAACAAATTCAACAAGGTCAGAGAAACGGCGGCCCAACCATATCCCACCTCTGCAAAGAAATTCAAAACACATGTCGAAAAACAGGAAACTAGCATGATTTCAATCAGTACCAACAACATACCAACAGAAATGACAGAAACTATTTCTCCACAAGAACCAAACGATAGAGCCCCTAGCGAAAACTGGGCGGAAATGACGGAAAACAAGAAGTTTGCGGCATGGCCATACCCAGGAACGAGAGGGAGACATGATGACCAGGCCTACCAAAGCACCAACCAGGAAAGTGATAGGAAACCCGCAAGATCAGATGAATTCGACACCGACATGGACAGCGACTCAGAACTGGGCAGAGAAATGGACGGCACAGGCTGGTTCATGGTTAAGAAAGGGAAACAACTCGTTAGACAGAGCACCAAACCCAGAGCATCATCCCCAATCGATTGGGTGAAAAGATACGGAAGGAAAAGATTCAAACTGAAGATATCTGCAGATAAAGTCAAAGGCAAACACACAAGTAGCAAAATACAGATGGTCGCCAAAGTACTTGGCAGCCCGATCAGCCTAATTGCCATCCGCACCGAAAAAATTGAAAACGTCGAACACATCATAACAATCTTCGGAGATCAGAAAGCGGCAGATGACGCAATGACCGTAGTATCGGACGAATTTCACAATGATAAATTCACACGCATGGAAATGCTAAGTCCCGTTCAAAGAAAGGAAAATGTAATTAGGGTATGGGACATACCTCTTAATGCAAAAACCATAGACATCCAACAAACCTTCACCAGATACGGCAACATCACGAGCATTACCATGAGCACGCAACAAATGTGGCAATTAGCAATCATTTATTATGAGGACAGGAACGATAAAAACAAACTAGTCGAACTCTGGTCCATACCATTCAAAGCAGACATGGTAAGAGTTTTTGACGTAACATGGAACACCAACCAAATGAAGTGCAGACAATCCATCTCAATCAAGCTTTGCAACTTACCCCCTGGCACAACAGCATATGACCTTAGAGACGTAATTGCAGAAACACACGCCAAGACATGCTATATTCCCAGGAAAATGTCGTACCAAAGGAAAAGATTTGCAGTTGTAGCATTCAAAAGCCAGCAAGAACTCGAAAAAACAACACAGAAGACATACAAACTAGGAGACACGGCATTAAGCTAGCAACCAATAGATACCAAACTATGCGCCATCTGTGACATGTACGATCATTTAGCAGCGGAATGTCCAATCAAATACCGCAAAGAACAACTGAAACGTACAATGAAGAACAAGCGAAACAGTTCAGGGTAGTGTTACAAATCGTTAGTTGAAAAGTTTAGAATTAATCAATCAGAGTATAGGAATTTTTAGTTGCAACTAGTTGATTATAATTAAAACAACTAATCAATTGGAAAAATTTTGACCAACTAAGATCACTAGTTCAGGGTTCTCTACTGCAGATACTGACCGGCCAGAACCACCCTGATCAGAAACATCATCAGAAATGAAAAGAAAGAAAGCAACGGAAAAAAGTCATATGTGGAAATAGTTTGCAGAAACCATGGAGGCGAACTACCAGGAGAAAGTCGAAACACAAACGAGACGTGCAACAAAGTGCAAGCGACAGTCCTTACCACACTGCAACATATTCTCGAAGAAATCAAGGGAGTCAAAAAACAATTGAACAATCTAGATGAAAGAGTAAAATGAATCGAATCTACTTATGAAGAAGAGGCCAGAGATGAAATAACAAATGACGATTAAACCATCGTAACAACCCAGTGACACAGACAGACGTCAAGACAATCGGAGCCAGTAGCGAGTGGAACCACAAAAAAGCCGATCAAAGTCCTGAGGACCGAGCAAGAACAGCTACATTCTGGAATGGAGAGAATTGAAAAAGCCCTAGCCGAAGTAACTCACATGGCATAGGATCAGAACAATGATAAAGCCGACAACATCACCGAAGCATACATGACGACCTCCCACTGTTAATAATGGAGAACCACAGTAGTACAACAGAAGTGGGCCCAGCAATGCCCCTAGGCAACTTGCCGCACCCAGAATCCACGCACGAACAATCTGTTGAAGAATCAAGAACACCAGAAACATCAAACAATATAGCAATTAAAACAAATGCAAACAATAAAGAACCAGCAAAGTCACCGATGCAGTCGATGAATGACAGACCCACCAAAAAACAACACACGAATATCCCCTCAGCCACCACACTCAGAATCGCAACATCAAACGTAAGGGGAATAAATGACGATTGCAAAAGAAATCTCTGGTTCGCTCAATGGCACATATACAAATGGAACATCATAATCATAACAGAGACAAACAGCATATTACAAAACGAAAAACACTGGAAAAATAATGCATACACATCATTCTGGACCTTGGGAGAACAATTTTTAGGAGAAGGTGTAGGTGTCAGCCTTAAAGCACACCTCATGAAAAGAGTCATAAGAAAACAAACAATACCGGGTAGAGCTATACTTATAAACTTAGCATTTCCGCAAAGGAAATACGTTAGAATAATAGGAGTATATAGACATGCAGCAAAATCTTCCAAAAACAAATCCTAAAGGAAAAAACCAATCAAATTCTTAACAAATTCAAATGGAAACAGACAATCGATAAACAAACCGTTTACATTCTTAATCACATACTTTTCCTTAAAATAGAGTACTTACTCAATAACATGGTGTTGTCCAGTAAAGAAGTCACAGACATCAATAGGAAAATAAGACGAGTCTCAAAAAACAAATTCAGATTCGCGTCAACTGCACCGAACTCCCTGATACACAGCCGATCAGGTTATAAGGTCTTCGATCTGCAATATAGACAGATACAGAAACATCTTACAAATATGAAGGCACATATGGATCAAAGAAACATAGTGTCATACATAACAAAAGCTAACGTCAAAAACATATAATGGGAAGCCTGGTCACAGACATCCATATTGGAAAGGTGTTCAAAAATGTTCAAGGAAAACTACAACTTCACACATGATGTAATACGTAACTGTCAAAAACATGATCTGAGAATAACAATAGGAGGAAAGCAAACTATAACACAAGAAGAAAGTTTCAACCTAACCACAATAGAGGAAATCATGGGAAACGAATGGTTCGATACAAACAGAAACAAGCTCAGGAAACTTAATCTAAAGTAAATCAAGCAAATGTGTAATGCAGACATCACAAAATGCACCACGTGGATCGATATCTCGAGAAGACTAAACCGACACATGAGAGGACACATACCAACAATTTACAATGAAATCAAACAGAAAATCACAGACAACAACAGCAGAGACAGCCGATTGCTTCGCTCACTAGGCAACAAACCCAATCCCTTTAGCAAATGGCAAGAGACGAGCAAGCACACAGCAAAAGAAATGAAAGAACGTAAGCTCGATTGGGTAGTCGTGAGTTCACAAGCAGAGCCATTAATAGGCAGGCTAAGGAAAAAACAACAAGACATGACAACAATCAGGCACTACAAATACTGAAAAGATGCCTCACCAATCGATCCATGCAAAGGTTGCAACAAAAACACACACACAGATAATAGAGGGGAAATATGCACAATACAGATAGAAAGCATGAAATGTGCTAGCATAGCAGTGGCAAAAACCAAACAAAGTAATAGAGGGTCGAGAGACATGGGAATGAAGCTCAGAATGTTAATATCATCAGCAAGTTTTGAGATAATTAATACAGCAAGAAGGACAGAACCAAACAAACAGGATATAGAAATAATCGTACCAACAAGAAACTGAACTAGAGCATCAGAGCTATTTTCAAACACTCATATCACTAAACAGATGAGAGAATAGGAAAACAAAGTGGCATCTTGAAACAAAACAAAGATATTTACAGACGCAGGAACCAAGGAGAACAATTACATGATCGCTATCAAGATCCTCAACATGACAACCGGCGAAGCAACAGATACAATATCAGTCAAGGTAAAAGGCAGAACATCCACGCTAAGGGCTAAAATGCAAGCAATCAGAATAGCCATTGCAGCAATAAGCCCAGAGGGACAGACCACACTCTTCACAGACAGCAAAGCCGCACTACACACAATAAATAATGCTAAAACAAAAAGTAAACAGAAAAAGCTAGCAGAAGAAATTTGGAAAATAGTCAGGGAAAAAAAGCTATCAATCAACTTTAAATACAAAAAGAGAAGAAGTGACGCTCATACACAGAAAGTAGACAATGCAGCAAAAAAGGCCAGGCACAACTGGATAAGAGAAGAAAAAGGGCTAGTGGG